ATAATAATAATAATAATAATAATAATAATAATAATAATAATAATAATAATAATAATAATAATAATAATAATAATAACAAGTTAGATGTTGGACAAAAATAATTATAATAAATAAATATATCTTATTAATAGTACTTACAATTTTTTGAAATAATCAGATCTAAAAATAAGTATTTAAACTAAATATTACTGTATAATATTTAATTTAATAGATTATCTTATATTTAAAAATAATAATAAATAAAAATGCTGCTAATAAAAACTGTTGCTAATAAATTTTTGTTTAATTAGAAATAAAAATATTAACATAATATGGATTTATTGAATCAAATTGTGGTACAATATGAATTACATTGCTAATTGATTCTACTGAAACCATGCTATAGATATCAGTTAATTGTAAATAAGGGCATTCATATTTATAAAATTTTGAAAAGATGTTTAGAAATTTAAAATCATACCAATGAATAAGTGCAAGATTAAATGTCATAGTATCTTTTAATACAAATATGAATTAATAATAATACCTAAAAAAATTAAATATTAAATTTAATTTAACTTAAAACATTTTGAAATATATAAAATTAATTAATTTAATACATACTTTTGCAATGCAAAGTCCATTAAACATTTCAAATTTGTTCTGTTCAAAATTTATATATATAGAAACATTACTAAACATTGGTGCATTGTAAAAATTTTTTGTAACTCTTACTCATTTTTTATTAGGTAAAATGAAAGACTCATATAAAAAAAAGTTAATTCAAATTTTTCAATTTGTCTTTTAACTGTTAGCATGAGATCAAAATAATTATCTATCATAGAAATAAGATTTTGTAACTCTTTAAGAATTTCAGAAACATAATCTTTTTTTTTTATATTCATATAATTTAATAAGTAGCTTTAAAAGATGTAGTAATATATTACAATATTTTTTACCAAATTTTGCTGAATTTTTTTTAGATTATCTATTATGCATGATGATATATTTATAAATATCTCTATGTGTAAGCATTCATATTATCTAATAATATTAGTTAATGTTAAAGCATATTAGTATAAAGTTATTTAAATAGAAATAATGTAAAATATAAAAAAAACCTTTTGTAAAATTTGTGTGTTAATATTGCATTTGTTGAATATTCGATAGAGTGCTTTTATATACCATTTGTAAAATATTTTATATGTTTCTGCATTTAATCTATTTAAATTTCTATACTCTTTAACAGTCTCAATCATATAATGTATCCAATAATAAAATTTTGAAAATCAACAATTATTTTTTGAATATGAATCAAAAATATCAACAAAATTTATTGCCTAATTTTGAATTAATATCTATAAAAATATTTATTAATATTAATGATATTTTTCAAACTATTTAAAATAATATAAACAATTTAATAATTAGTTTTTATAATTTTTGTTTTATTTTTTATTTTAATAAAATATAAAATAAATTTAATTAAACTAATTATCATATATTGAATTATCTTAAATAGTTTGAATAAATATTACTAGCAATAACTTGATAAGTTAATTATATATTATTATACTTATTTATATGAATTAAGATAAAATTACTAACTTCAAATTGGTAAAGATTACTTTGTATAAATTTATTTTGTCTTGATTGATAGTACATTTTATTCCAATTAACAAACATTTGAACAAGTATCTCATTTTTATTTTTTTCAAAAAGACCTTCAAGAACAATAGTATAACTTTCATCATATGTCTATACTCAGATGCTGTAAACAAAGCAAGATCTGCAAGTCCTGTATTGAATATTTTTAACTCTGAATGGCATAGTATTAATCTAAGTTTTAAATTCATTTTATTAACAAGAGCAACACCATCATAAAATTTTAAAAGATTTTGTGTAAATTTGACCATATATGAAAAAAGTCCAAGATCTAAATAGTGCATTCATTTAAGAATGGTTACTGTATAAATATTAAAATTTCTATAGCAAAAAAATAAAATAAAATAAATACAAGTATTACATATTATTAATATATACTAAAAAGCCTAAACTTTATTATTAATATATACTAATATAAACTTTAAACTTATAAATAATTCCAAAAACTGTTAGTTTCTTTATGCAATAAATAATCTTTACCTTGATATAGTGTAATGATTTGTTGCATTTGATTCTTTGTTCAAATAATTTTATGGCTTGCAAATAAATTAATAACATTTAATTTTTCCTTTTCTACAAGGCAGGTATGACAAAGACATGCACAATTTGTTCTATTATAAGTTAAACATAATTTACAATTTTTAGACTAGTCTTTAATAATACTAGCTAGCATCATATTATATCTTAAATAATAATAATTAACTTTTAATAATATTTCATAATTATACTGTAAATGCAATAGCTCAATTAATATATTAATATATTTGTAAAAGGTTGTTCAAATTATTTTTCTAAATTGTAATATTCATTGCTCTTCTTTAGTTCCTTATAATGTTGGCATTATATCAACAAGCACCTTGGCTTTAGGTTTATTATGAAATTTCATTAGAATATTATCTAAGCTAATATATATTGAATGTCTTGAGCTTTTTTCTAAACAGTCTAATGAAGTTGCATCAGAGTATAATATTATTGCTAAAACCTTATTATCAGATGAGATTTGTTGCTGCATATGGTACTATCATTCACAATTATAAAATTCAGAATATACTCTTTCATGATGTCTCTAAAAAATTGGGACAAGTAAATATTTAGCACTGGCCTAAAAATTAAATATTACTTTAGTTACTATTTTGTAAATATATTAATATTTAATTTAAATATTAATTATTTATTAACAAATATAATATTTTAATATATTATATAAAAATATAATATAATAATTATAAAAATATTTTAATATTTTAATTAAATATTTTTAATATATTATTTAGTAAAAATATAAAATATTATT